TGAATTCACCGACTACTTTTTGAAGGCAGATTCTGACTCTCAATCACTAAGCCTGTCCTTACGGCTCTAACAGAAAAGCAATTAACCTTGCCCAGGTCTCTGCTAGGGGCTTTTTCCTCGTGACAGGTCGTTCAATGGTATCTAATAATGTTTACCCAGAACTAATCCATCTGACCGACCCACGCCGGTCCCTCCTTGGAAGCTGCATTCAGTACACTGTGACCAGCAGCCCATGGCGACCCGTACTTTATCAACAAACTGCCGACTTTCTGGCGACTACACGCCAGCCGCGCATTTCCCTAATGGAGCGGGCCGAGCGGGCCGCCTACGTGCAGTGGTCTGCGTGGCGCCTGCCGGAGAGCTCTGCCACGTGCGGCGCACTGGCTGCAGCTCGCCCACGGACTATCACACCTTGTAACGAACTGTCTGTGGCGGAAAACTATCTAACTGGCATTATTCTCGCTTTGTTGTGATATAGTCACAAACAATGAACACATCATTGTTACTTTCATGAAAAACGTTTCCATTGCAATGAAATTGTTAAGTTATTTCTTTGATTCTGAGCGCAAATGAAATGAGTCTGAAAAGAGCATAGCTGTTACCCGAAAACATGTAACTGGTAATGAAATAGTCGTTATAATATCCATTTACGTCCACGTCGTTGATGAATTATTCATGACTGCCCGCATCCTCAGCAAAGGAAGTCTTCAAAAACAAAACAGCTCTCTAAAATGACGCAATTATCGGCTCAAGGTCAGAAATCAGATTTGCACATCTGCGAAGTTTAACTTTCTCCCGTACTCGGCTTTCTTCATCGTTCAACGTAGAACGGGGTCGGCCGGACCCTCAAACCTCAGCCGTTTGACCCTTGTTGAACTTCACCTTTGCAAAGAACCTATCGTGCTGCTCATGACAACATTGTAGTTTTACCCTTGACCTGACCTGTGACTTACTGAGGCAGAAATAATGCGCTCCAAAGATCCGTCTTGTTGAGACCTTCCAACTACTGTTTGCCAGTTCTTCTACGAACATCTGTTAACCCTATTAGTGGCAGCCGGCAGGCTCCTGGCTACCCCTATTAGTGGCAGGGGGGCTGTTTACGACCCCCCCTTGATATCTCGAGATCTAACGGGCCGATTTTCAAAATTCAAACGGCATTCGATTTCGCTCAACGTGATCTACATTTCAAAAAATAAAGATTAAGAAAATGTCAATGTAGAGGGGGTAAAATGTCAATGTAGAGGGGGTAAAAACGGGCAAATTGCAGATACATTTTAGACTGTTTATCACGGCCAATTTTCTGAACCAATCTTAACCCATTAACGCCCGTAATTCCCCAGGGAACGCACACGAATGCCCATTTGCCGATTTAGAGGTAATGGTCCCCTAAGGGTACCATGTGAGTTTGGTAAATGTGCGAAATTTAGAAATATCCTTTTTTGAAGTGGTACCTTTTGGTACCACTGGGCGTTAATGACATCATTTTTTCGCAAAAACATGCATTTTAGCAGCATACAAGATATGTTTGCCAAGAAGACTTTGCAGCTCATTCGTGAAAATCAGAATATAAGACGACATACTGATCGGCAATATTATGGCAAACGCTCGCCGCTTATGTTTTTCAAGTTGTCTGGTTATGACGTCATTACTGCATGTTTTGCCTAATTGCCATAAACGTCAATGCTATTATTCACCTGGTAGTGGGTCGGTCTAGTGAAGAACTGTACTGTTTCAAGCAAGGCTGCGGAGTCGATGAATTTTCAGTGACTGACTCTGACTCCAACTCAGACTTTTACATTTCAACACCGACTCCGACTCAGACTCCAGGCATGATTGTCGACTCCGACCGACTCTAACTCATACTCCATCTCCGCAGTCCTGGCATGTCTGCGGAGTCGCGGGATTTTCGGCGACTCGAACTCCAGCTCCGGCTTCCACAATCGACTCCGACTCTGACTCCGACTTCAGTTAGATATATCGACTCCGACCGACTCCCGACTCAGATTCTGCAGCCCAGGTTTCAAGTCTTGTAGGGTTGTTTATTTTCCTAAGATGCACAAATATCTTTATACAAGTGACAAAACTAACGGTTTTCTTAAAGCCATTACCAGCAACCACCCTACATTTTGTGTTAATTTTTCTTTCAAAATTATGAAAATAAACATGAAGCCCATTGTTCAAGATACAGCACAGTCTGTAGTTACAGTTCGTGCACTGCAAGACACGCGCTATAACCTATTAAATCTAATCCAGCAACCAACGAGACAGATCTCCAAAATGGACTTCAGCCGGATAGTACAGTGCTGCTTGCGCAGAGGCACACGTTGCAGCAGTCAACACGTCATGTTTCTAGGCTCTAGCCGTTATACTTCTCCATGTACGTCTCCGGGCAGAGCGCCACGCGCCACTTGCCACAGATGACTCTAGTGACAGCCACGTCAGTACAATGCATACGCCTTCATGGCGGAGCCTACTCTAATCCAGTGTCTGCATCAGTCGCGGCGTATGCAGCATTATCAGGTGCACGTACCAAGCAGCAGGTCTGCAGGAACTCATCTGTCACTACGATCCGCATCAATATTTCCTCCGTATGCTACCACACAAACTGCACTGGGATGTGACGCCGTTACCCACATCTTCCTGAACAACAGCAACAGCCTTCCTAAACAACACGATGATCTCAAAACCGTGTCCCTTCCCCTCCCCCCAAGCAATAGGTATTCATTTGGGGCCTTGACCACATGTCTGCTCCGCAGGGGTACCCGCAATAATACCAGCGATTACAGGGCAAGCATCCTATCCAACATCAATGCGTCACGTCAGCGGTGAATGACCAAGCAGCAATGAATGCATCAGTTTCAAGCGGCGAGGGCGACGAAGGCACTCCCCTCTTCGATCTCTTTTTAGATTCTATTTGCCGTAAACTGCACACCGTCCCTGAGAAACGTTACGCGAACGACTCGCAGTCTACACAGGCGCCCCTTTTCGCATAGAGACGCCCCCATGGGTTACCTAGGTGCCCCCCTCTTTCGCATGTGGGCGAAAGTGGGGCGCCGCTTTAGACCTAGCAGGCGCCCCTCGTTCCCACTGAGGCGCCCCTATGGGCTTCACAGGCGCACCTCTTTCTGTATGCCTCAGAGCCGTTCATCTTTGGGATGCAGTGGCCAAGCTTTCGTATGGAAGTTCGACTTTGACCTTTATGGGCGCTCCTTTTGCATGGCGGCGCCCCTTTTGCATGTTGGTGCCCCTACATATACTATGGGCCTCATGGACCTCAGAGGCACTCCTATAGGCTTCACGGGTGCCCCTCTTTCGCATGCACGTGCTCCTATGGGCATCAAAGTCGCTCCTATGGACATCCTCATTTGCATTGAATCGCCCCTATGAACTTTATATGCGCCTCTCTTTTGCATATAGGGGCCACTATGGCCTCACAGGCGCTCCTCTTACGCACCCAATTTCTTTAGGCGATAGCGTCCCCTTGAGGGATGGCGCCCCAAATGGCAATTTGTCCGCATCACTCCGTTGAACATTGTTACGCGTCTGCACATACTGCACACGCATGAAATAGCGAAAAAACGCTTAGCTTAACGCCCAGTGGTACCAAAAGGTACCAACAATAATTCTGTCCCTAGGGACGCCAGGATTCATGACGAAACATCGGATTTTCTGCTTAACTGCAGCTACAAGCTCTTAATCTTTAATGTAAACACACTTTGGCTAGAAAAATATTCACAGACAAGCAAATACAAACGTTTCCTTCTCCCGACGTCAGCCAGTGACTGTGGCGCCTCGAAACACTCCTCGCTTTTCTGCACCTCACACGAAGTTCTTCTTAGCAGCACGTTATTTTTACCCAACAGCATATCCGGAAAGGAGACGATTATCCAATGACAGAATCTACGTGGCGAAAAAACGTATGGTCTCAACGCAGCAAGCCAAAATGTGCGTTGGTACCTTTTGGTACCGCTGGGCGTTAATGGGTTAACGCAACTTTTGCCGATCGATAGAGAATGAACCAGGAGTTCACATGGATCCTAAAAATATGCATTTTCGAAAATCATAGGCGGATACAGATCATTGAGATTGGGGGTACACAAAAAGTATAGTAAATAAGGTTTTTGTTGGTACTGTTTCTGGAAAGGGTGGTAATGGTCTTGTTATGTTACAATTTTCTTATGAAAGAACGACTACAATTGTATTGGTCATGCATAGGCGGTGTCAGGGCACCTATGTTGGGAGGTAAAACATAACCCCCCTTTTTGGACGCCTGGATCCGCCTATTATAGCAAAAACGTGTCAAAAGAGGATGCACAATAATTTTGTGTATGTTATCACATGATACCTTTCATTCACTGTTCGTAAAACTGGTGCATACAGTTATAATACATCAGCATCGTGATCTTCGCCCAAATGACTCGCATATACGAATAGGACTCCCCAATTCCCAGTGCTCTGGAGCCGCCCCTGGTAAAGTAATGAACTTGAAATTTTCAGGGAATGTGCCTAATTTAGTTTTAGGAAAAGTCAGAAAATTTCAGCATCGTAGCTTCAGCGGTTTCGGAGATATTCCCGAAAAACCTTAGGGGTGGATAAAAATAACCCCCCCTGCCACTAATAGGGTTAAGCTCATCTATTACAACCAACACTGGGGCAAAAATCTAGCCCCCCCCCCCCTTCCCCCTCAGCGGTGCGCGTTCGGCTCATTACCTCAGCGGGGCGCGGGTTACCAGTCGATGGTCTCTATACAGTGACTCACTGAGGCGGAGCAGTCGGCCGTGAACAAATAAGACTGACGCCTTTCCACCCTAAAATGGCGCTGCTTGATCAAAGCACTTTGGTGGCTTTGCAATATCGCTAATGCAGCTTTTCCAATAATGCGTCAATGATAACCTTCCTGGTTATTTTGTACCTACAACACCAGCAAATCAAACATGTCGACGGCGGCTGCGATGGCAAAATGGCTTGTCACATTGATGTCCGGCGGCGACATCACTCACCTGATGTGCATCAGCGTGTGGACGGACGTCATGGTGCCGAGGCCGACGAAGAAGGCGTTCATCTGGCAGAGGACGTCACCGAACACCCAGCGGCCGGCGATCAGCGTGACCAGCGCCACCGGCATGTCCAGCAGCGCCACCATCACGTCCGCCACCGCCAGGTTCATCAGGAACAGGTTGGTGCGCGTGCGCATCTGCCGGTGTCGGCAGATGGTGATGATGACCAGCGTGTTGCCCACCAGGCTGCACACGATGAATGTGGCCATCAGCGCGCTCATGGTGACCACGAACGCCGGATGGTAGTGGTGCTCGGCGACGTCCGGCACACTCGAGTTGGTCACCGCCGGCGCATCGGGCGCGACTGACGTGCTCTCACTCAGCTCCATACTGGTCGACTCTGGTTAGCTAAAGTCCCAATCTCCACTAGCCGTGAACTTAACTGTTACTTTTGAAGGGTTATTTAGACAAACATACACATTTGACTGTTTCCATAAATGCCAAAAACACATTTGACTGTTGAGCTTGAAATGGCGCTTTTCACTATTTTTCCCACTTTTCTCCTAAGAACGAAAAGTCATCTTCCAAGAAAAAGACAAGGCAAAAAATAACTCAGCAACACATTTGACGGTTCAAGACGATTGAAATACAATCAGCAGTTAAAATCCTGTTAGTAAAGCCCACAACACCACACCAGTGGGACCTGAATGGCTCAGCTCTCACACGTGTTTAACCCAGCTGTCTCAAGTGAGAGCCAGCGCAGCACTATCCAACACCCTCCACTCAGCGCCGGGCGCGCACTCCTCCCAGTCAGCTCCCAGCAGTGCTACTGATGCAGCGCCAACGAGCGAGTCGGCCCGGCCGGGCGGCCGCTGCGCGAGAGACTGTGCGGCGCGCGCACGTTGCGCCGCCGCAGCACGGCGGAGTGCGGGGTGCCCAACAGCGTTGGTCGAGGACGGGTCAGGAGCTCATCGCTTACCCTCGTGTCATTAGAGATCCGACGGCAAATGCGTTCAATGGAATTTGACGGAATTTCCCTGCTTTCTTTGCTTGAAAAGAAACGTAACCGATTTATGTTTTAAAGGCCTTTAATTAACCCTCGCCCGTATAAGGGGGGTCGATTGGACCCCCCCCCTCAGTTTTTCGTGAGTAACTCGAGTAAAAAGCGGCCGATCGCGACGAAACTTTCAGTACCCTCGCGTTAATCACTTTTACACCTACCCTGAAAAGTTTTTGACTCTGACGCAAACGACCTTTGACCTGTGGCCTACTTTTCGAGACTATGTTTGGCCGCAATCGCGATTCGGCGTATCTCGGCTCGCATAAGCCGCACGTTTGCAGTCTTTTCGTGGTTTCAAGCATTCAAACATGGGATATGATGTTGGTCCCCGGCATTAAGGTGGGTGTAAGATCACCGGAAGATCAGGTCAGGTCATTGACCTTTAATGAATTCGACTCACTTTTTCGAGTTTTACATGTTTCTCGGCTAAATTTTGGAGATGAATTTGAATTTAGCAACCATTTGAACATTTACGATGCACCATTGGTGCCTTCATAACATGTTAGGAAGCTGTCAGAGGCGGTTCCCAACTTCTATGAATACCCGGCAAAACCCTTAGGCACTGGCTGTTCTGACCTGGCCTAAATGCATGAAGATTTCATCTATGATGATAACTAACAATACTTTCGTGATCAGCACCCCGAAAAACCCCATAGCAGCCACAATTTACGACGTTCTTACAGGTATCAATTTTCCCGACTTTTGGGTCATTGACCTGACCTGGAAGGTCAACCGATGACCTAGGACCCTTAACCCACGAGCCGCTGGGGGGGGGGGCATAAAGTTGCCCCCCTTACGTTTTGTGAAATATCTCCGAAACCTGATGAGCTACGAACGTGAAACTTGGCATAGCTTCAAATGAATACATAGGCAATGTTTGAAGAAAGTTTGGTGGTTGCAGCTCCTAAGATGACGTCACAGTGACGTCATAAAGTTTTGTCGTTTTCCGATATGGACCGTTTCTGATGACGCTGAGCATGAAACTCAACTGTAAATGAACTAGACAGCACCTGCTGTCATCCTAAAACATCTAACTACACTTCCATCTAGTTTCTGACCAATAATCGGCCCTTTATATTCGGTCCCATATATCTGATGTATCGTGAAGAATATGAGAGTCGCAAATCTATAATTTCACTTATGACGTCACTGTGACGTCATTTCAAATGGGATCAACACCAAATTTGAACACAACCTCGGCTAGGTATTCAGGAAGATGTGTGCGAAGTTTCGCTTCTCTATCTCTTCGCGTTGCGACGATATCGTCGCAGAAGTAAAGGGGGGCAACTATATGCCCCCCCCCCCAGCGGCCGGCGGGTGGCGCGGAGGCCCAGCGGCCGCCGGGTTAAATTGGGTATTATCGGCTTCCTCTCGTCCGGGCAACACGCTCGTTTTTTCCGCGAAGCTCTAGCTCGATCAGGGGCGAAACAGCAAGGGGGGTCCAACGGAACCCCCTATACGTTCGCGGCTGGAAAAAAACACCAATAGGCAGCTACGGGCGAGGGTTAGCGCTTGCTGAGCCAACACCCTTCCTATAACACAAACGTCCAGGGTGGGTTGGCACAAACCCTTATGGCAAATATCAACACCAAATTTATAGGGTAGGTGGACCCATAGAAAATATCGCCCTGTGAAAACTTTTTGTCACCAGTTCAGCATTAGCCCTTGCCGGACCATCCTTGCAGACTGATTAATTATTGATTCACCTTTTTATGATCGATTCAATCATTGATTCATTTGATTTTTTTGCGATTAAATCTCCGTTCAATAATTTCAAAAATGGTGAATCGTTTCCATTTGATTCAGATACTAAAAACAAAAAAGGAACGATTCAGGTTTGATTCAGCCAAAAAGTTAACGATTCTTTTTTCGATTCGATTAAAAAAAAACCTCGCCCTGGCAGGGCAATTTTCATAACACGGCCTGACAGGGGGGGGGTCGATGCAACCCCCTCCCGTCGCGATTGGCTCCTATGGCACCTAGAAACACCAAATTTGGTAGGTAGGTGGGCCCCTGGGGTTCACGCCCCTGTGAAAATTTGTTTCCTCTAGGTCAATATTTAGGGGGTTTTGGGCAGGGGTGCGGAGCCGGAGCCGGAGCCGCCGGAGCCGGCACATTTTTGCCCGGAGCCGGAGCCGGAGACGGAGCCGCCATGTTATTTCACCCGGAGCCAGAGCCGGAGCCGGAGCCGATTTTATTTCTCCGAAGCCGGAGCCGGAGCCGAAGCTGTCTGAAATTTCCAGGGCTCCGCATCCCTGTTTTTTTGGGGGGGATATGAATGAAAAAAAAATTCGCTAAAAACAGGTCAAAAGTTTTTCGCTTATAACTTTTGATCTAACTACGATAGAGGAAAAAGAAAAGCGTCAGGGAACTCAGCACGTCAAGGCGCGTCGGATGATTTACTTTTGCTTGCTTAAGTGTACTTAAAAAGTTGAGCACATCTTAAGTGGAACTTAAGTTTTAAGATTGGTCGAAATGCTTAATGCTGCATATCATTCGACTTGGCTCTTCAAAAGGAACAAAATGATACCATTTTGAAAGCTTTATCTTTATTATGTGACAAGTTATTGGCACAAACGTCATTTGACCTCAGTTGACCTCATTTGACCTGACCCATGGACAAGTAGCTACACCAAACAATGAAGCACCAAGCAACATAATATTAAGTACTGAGGTTTCAAAGCACAAAAGTGATAGAACGAAGCGAATATCTCCAGTATTTTCCGAATTGAAAATTTCCCCATAGGCTAAACATAACGACGTAGTGACCTCTAACTGACCTCAGGTCAGTGACATAAAAAAAAACGAGCTACACGTTATTCAACTCGATTAACTTTTTAACGCATCCTGAAAGTTTGAAAGAAATCAGTCCAAAAATGTGAGTTGGACAGGTGCATAAAGAAAATTGAAATTTGACCATAACTTTGTACCGGTTTTTATGGCCTGGTGACCTGACCCAAGGCCACCCGGACCTGAAATTTTCAGGCAATGTAGATATAAAAGGGTTGCCCCATAGGCTGTGCAAATTTAACGGCGCTGCGCGCCGCCGTTTTTACGCTATCTTCGAAAAACCTTAGAGGGGGTCGTATCGACCCCCCTGCCAGGGCGAGGGCCAAAATTTCAAAAATTGCAAGGGTACCGTAAGGTGGGGCTATTTGAAACAGTGGGGCTATTTGAGACAGTATTTAAAATTGTTATAAAGTAAAAACCGTTTGAAATTTATGCTTAATTTTTGCTCAGGCGATTTACTGCTCGATTCTACACCTCCGTGAGCAAAAATATCACACAAAATTCCAACGATATTCATTTTATAGCGATTTTAAATACTGTCTCAAATAGCCCCACTGTCTCAAATAGCCCCACTTTACGGTAGTATTATATTTGTTGTGTTTTTTTTTTTGTAGAACTGTTAGTCTGCTATCGACGTGCCAAATTTGAGCTCGGTAGCTCTGTTTTGGGCAAAATCATGGCAAAAAACTGCTCAAAATTGATGACGTCAAACATTTCAACCAAATTTTTAGCTGTTATAGATCATGTACACAAAACTAAGACCATTGTTGGATTTCTCGTGTTAACCCGCGCCGTGCTGGGGGGGGGGCGTTTTTACGCCCCCCCCCCCCCCCCTCAGGTTTTTCGCGAATATCTCAAAAACGGCGGCGCGCAGCGCCGCTGTTTTTGGTACACGTGTTCCTACATCATTTCCGCACATTTTGTGAAAATTTCAGACCTAGGCCGTTCAAGGTCAGGTCACCAGGTCACGTCAAGTGACCTTACCTCAGAAAAAGTTCAAAGGCTCGCTATAGCTACACCGACTGAACGATCACTTTGAAACTTTCAGCGATTGATATGAGTAACAGTATGTATAAAATGTATATCTCGGATTTTTGATATCTGTGACCTAAGGTCAGGTCAATTTTGCGACCTCTCCATTATAAGTCAATGGGAGAAAATTGAAATGCGCCTCTTTTGGACGAATATCGTTCAAAACGCTCTCAAACATCGGTTCATAGGTAAACATGACACACTGAATAGGAAAAATGCACCTGTGACCCCTCTGTGTGCCCCTGAGGTCATCTCAGGTCATGAACGGTCGCCAGCAGTTTTTTGGCTATAACTTTTGATAGAGACGTGCTAGAGCGGTGAAAACACGTCAGATGTGTTCAGCTCGACGATACGGATCGACTGATATGCAACATGACCCTTTTCGGTCAGGTCATGACCTTGACCTGAGGTCATATTTTCAAAATGACCTTTCAAGGTCAACGAATAGTTCATTCGACGCGTCTCAACGAGAGAAACACGATGCTGGCAAAAGTAATGTCATGGCGCTTATGAGTCAAAAGTTATTGACGAAAAAACGTTTTTCGTAAAAACGGCTATTTTTGAGTTTTTGCCCTCTGGAGGCTAAACCGTTGACCTGAGGTCAAATCTGAGAACATTACTCAGAAAGGTCTGTAAAAGGGCTATCGAATGCGCTTTTCCGCGGCGCTGTAGCTCTATCGGTTCCCGAGATAGCCGTTGGCAGTTTCCAAAATGTTGAAATAGTCAACATTTTACCTTTGGTGACCTCTGGTGACCTGACCTTTGACCTGACCCAAAAAATGACCGAAGTGTTTTCGTCCTTATTTTTGACGCTCTTTCGATTGCCGCTTACCGCGTGTCGCTACGTGGCCCAGGAGCCGAGTTAGACGGGGGGGCGTGAAAACGCCCCCCCCCCCCCCAGCACTCGGCGGAAAGTTCAAGCCACCAGCACGGCGCGGGTTAAG